TGTGGTAATTAATATAGAGAATTTTATTTAAGAAATATAGAAACTATTTGAAAATATCTTATTTTCTTTTCAATAATACTAGATTTTTTTATCCGAGTCAAAAGCGGTATTAAAATATTCAAATTTTTAATAGATAGGAGAAATGAAAAATAAGAAAGATAAAATATATTTATGTTTGATCAAAATTTAGCTTTATTATATGTATGCACAATACATATCGTTTTTATGTGTTTATAAATGTTAGAATACACGTCTAAATATTAAATTCGATTAAAAATATATTTAATAATCTAATCCCACGCTTAGCGTGGGTCAAAATATAGTTATTTACACAATTAAGCAAATAAGCTTGGTTGGTACGTTTTGGAGGACATATATTTAGTTATTTACAAATCTGGATGGAATTAATCCTCCAATGAGAAATGGCCTTTTTAATTATTTACTTTCATAAAAGTTCACATTATTGCATGTCAAAGTTAATTAATACTGAAGATAGTAGTATTCTTTTCCTTTGGAGGACCAATGGAAAATGTGGTATTTGATTATTGATAAATTTATATACTTACTGACCAAAACTATACCAAATTTACAAACGAAATAAAAGATTACTAAAATGTTTTCATCTTGTAAGTGAGAAGGTATTTAAGGTCTTCAAGAAACCACCTAAGGAAGTTTGAATGAGAAATTAATTTCAAGAAAAATAAAAACAACCACTTTAAATATTTCTTCAATAATTTATATCATGTGTGTGTAAAGAGTTATGAGTATATTTATTTGTACATGTGAGTCAAATAATTTCACTCTATTTAGAAGAATATCAAACTTTGGTATTTTAATTTAAAAAAATTTTGTATTTGATATTTTTGGTAAGTTTGTTAAAGGTAAAGAAATATGACTGTTGACTAGCATTAATTTGATTAGTCGTCGACTCGGATTGGTTTATATATAATGATAAATATCATTAGAGAAATGTACCTAAAATTTAACAATGGGTATTCATCTAGCTCTAGTGCTTGTTCTTTCTTCTTATATGCTTTTAAAGCAAGTGGCCGAAGGAAAATTTGATGTGATATTCTATAACTTCTACTTTGTTTTTCCATTCTTTAAAATTTGTTATTTTCAGTTTTTTAAAAAAAATTATTTTAATTATTTTTGTAGCCGAGTTTACATGATTTCGATTGTGTCGATATATACAAACAACCGGCTTTCCAACATCCACTGTTGAAAAACCACAAGATTCAGGTATGCTTTGTAGTCGATATTTATTCAATCAAATATGAAACAAACGTGGAAGACAAATTTCTTTAAAAGTTGAACATAATTTGATGTAGGCAGAACATATATAATC